GTATTGGTTCCCCTTAAAAAGTTGATATAGTATTTATTTAATATTAAAGATATGAATTTGCACTACTAGTCTGCTAATAAAATATTTATACACAGCCATAGGAACTCCGGTCAAACTCTATGTCAATTTAAGAGGCTGTTTATGTATTTATATATATATATGTGCGATATGATGTTCACTTGGTATAATGTGTTTTTCATTTTGTAATTTATACTATAAAACATCCAACTAGAGGCAGATTTGGAGCAAGTCTATCTGAAAAGCTAGTAATATAAAAGCTTACCATTTTGCAATGCAATGACTTTCGTCAATAAATACGGCTTTCAAATGCTTCTTAAGAGGACTTCGGAATATACCACGATGGTTATTAAGCAGTGCTTCGGGAGTTCCAAATACGATCTTGTATTTGCCTTCACAAATTTCTCGTATCTGATCTGGACTGCATTCTGATTCACCTCCAACACAAGCTGCTGATAGTCCTCGTGAAGTTAAAGAAGCGACTTGATCATTCATTAATGCAATGAGAGGAACCACAAGACATACTGATCGACATTCTTCAACAACTGCATTAGGATCGCTTGACATAAAATCAAATGCATAGGGAGCAATCTGAAACGTGAAGCTTTTACCAGATCCAGTTGGGGCAGACATAAACACATCTCGTCCTGAAAGATATGCCTCGGCAACTTGCCTCTGCTGATCTCTGATCGTATCGAAACCACACTTACTTGCTCCGTAAATAATAGCATCCTTGATTGATCTCATCTCCGTATAGAGTTTGTTTACTTTCTTGTCGTTTGTCAAAAAGTCTCGAACATGCAAATGTCACGCAATGAAACGAATGAATCATATTGATAGGCCACGCCTCCGGTTGAAAAATCAGCCGGTAAATTTGGCTAGGGAAACAAGTCTGCCTCTCCCCTCCCTCCTCGCCGCCTCGCCCGCGCCGCCCGCCATTTTCCCGCCCGCTTTTTTTCGCTCCTTTCCCGCGCCGCCCGCTTTTTTTCGCTCCTTTTCGGATCGCCTGCTACTAATAAAACTTCAAGTAAAACTCAAGTTACTTTTATAAAACTAAAGTAAAACTCAAGTTACTTTAATTAGGAACATCCAAGAGGCAGACTTGGAGCAAGTCTAATTTCTTGGCTGTCTACAAATAAACTATGTTTGAATACTGATAAAACAAATTACGATATATTCCGTATGCCTCAAAAAGTAATTACCCATGATCTTAAACTTTATATCAATTGTGATTCCATTAAACAAACAAGCTATGTTAAATACCTAGGTATCTATATTGACTGCCACTTAAATTGGAAAACTCAAATTCATAATATTCCAAAAAAAATTCAGAGGAGCATTGGCATTCTTTCAAAATTACGATATTATGTTACATTTAACATTCTTCTTCAGCTTTATTATTCTTTGATATACCCTTTTCTTACGTATGGAACCATAGTTTGGGGAAACACCTACGAATCTTCCTTGAAATCATTAGTGCTCTTACAGAAACGAGTAGTACGTATAATCACTTTCTCAAGATATGATGAACATACTAGTCCTTTATTTAAAAATCTCGGTCTTTTAAAGCTGTTTGATATAATAAAGATGTCCAACTTATTATTTATGCACGATTTCTATACAAATAGACTCCCTACTGTCTTTAACGATTTTTTCTTTTTCGTTAGTGATAAACACAAGTACAGTACTAGACTAGCAACAACAATGAGTTATTGTATACCAATTGTAAGAACAAATTACGGTAAATTTTCTATCCGATCACAGGGAACCTATATTTGGAATGATATAGATGATAGCTTGAAAATACTAACTAAATCAGTCTTCAAAAAAAAATTAAAATCAAATTTATTAATGAATACTAGCTTTATCTTTATTCTTATTTCTGTTTTCATTTGCTTTCAAATTAACTAAAATCAAATTTATAATTAATGATTACTGACTTTATGCTTGCTTTTGTTTTTGCATATGTCTGTAAATTTTAATTTGCATCTGTATAATCATTGTGCACCATGACCTTAAACCAATGTTGACCCACAGTGGCTCGAATACTTTAATAAGGTTATCTGACTTCGATTAGTGTTAAAGCTATTTCAGATATCCTGTGCCAACTCTGTTTTAATAATGTGTGGAAAAAAAATTGTAATTATGTATTTTTGACTGGTGCGAATAAAATTCTTCTTCTTCTTCTTCTTCTTCTACTATACGAATTCCTATAGGAAATTCCCAACCTCGTTCTCAGGGCTTCAGTGTGAGGACGAGGCGAGACACGAGGAAGCCCTGGTCCGGGCCGGTCAATTTTGCATTCTGATTGGCTAACACCATATTGTCTAAAAATAACTGAACTTGACAGTTGACAATAACAATTCAACATTTGTATTTTTATGATTCTTATGTGTATGAGTATGTTTTGCAAAATAATCTTTCAAAATGAGACGTTTTCCCGACTGCATGATTTACTTTCGCCTCGGCCGGTTACAAAACTCAAAAGCCGTGTTGACGTGAGCTGAGACGTGAGCCTGACAAAACAAGAACGTCTACTATTATTTGAGCCGTAGTTTTCGCTGTACAGTATTTATAATGTAGTGCAGATGTCTGATGAACTACTACGCATATTGCATTGTGGTAATCTTTTAATTTACAATATTCTGTACTGACAAATAAAAGCAAGACAAACAATTAAATGAAACTACTAAATTAATTTAGGCCCTGTTTACTTAATAGCTCTACGCCTTGGCCGATGTAGTCCCTACAAGATTCGTCACGCCACCGAGTTTCACAGTTCCAGAATACCCCGAATACTTGAAAATTGCGACTATACGATAAAATAAAACAAAGATTGTGAAGGGGATAAAATTTGTAGGCAAGCATTGCTACTGAACGGCAAGTGTTGGTGTCCGGGAAAACAAGCAAATCCGTATATTCCTGTACAGCGTAAACAGGTTACGCGAGGTTTTATATTTGTGTTTATTTATATTGAACTAAGTCAGATCTATAAGAGCATATTTAAACTAAATATTAATTGTAGCAAGAGCCATATTGTTCAAGACGAGAGAAAGGAAATTTCATGTGAATCACCACTTGCATGGAGACGCCTAGATGCAGCTTGGATGCAGTTTGCCTGTAGTTGAAAATCTCCAGAAATATTGGTATATCTTAGAAAACATAGACGGGATCTTCATAGATTTTAGCTGATTCATGCCAAACTTCGCTCTACACATAAATAATATCGATTGAGGTCTTTTGGCTATTTATTTGTTTCGAAGACTTGTATATTTCATTAAAGAATATCTCGCCACTCCTTGACGAGTAGCTGTCAAATACTACCATTTTTTGACGTCACATGACCGGCCCGGACCAGGGCTTCCTCGTGTCTCTATAGGAAAATTCCTATAGGAAATTCCTATAGGAAATTCCTATAGGAATTCAGTTCCTGGTGAATTTTGTTGGAATTATCCCTTCTGGTATGACAACATCATTGTCTAGACATTGGGAAGCAAGAGCTGTATCAAAGGACAGGACTGCTGGATGGGACACTGAATTTCCAAAACCATTAAGGATCTTTGTAAGTGCATAAGATCCTGTAATTTGCCTAACTGCCATACCCAAAGATAGAGATTTTGGAGTCTGTTTCCTGCCATTTGAACTTACATAAATTATATCTTGGGCAAGAGAAAGAACTTTCAAATATTCATTCACTGTAATATTTAGGTGTGATCTCATACTAACCGTGGATGAAAACCCAAGCAACCATGCAAGAAAGGAACACTGATAGACTAGGGGGAACCATTTTCTCTGCATTTGTTGTGGTAAATTCAGATAGTGTAGGGGCCAACTTTGGTAAAAATTGGGACATTCTTTGATTTTACCATGAAGAATCATAGCAGCATGAAACAATGTTCTCATTTCTTCTTCCTCATTGCTTCCAGACTTTTGGGTTGACGTGCTGGGAGTTTCTGTCTTGATCTCTTCCTGACTGCCACTTTCAGTGTCAGAACTGTCACACATTGAGATGTTTTCTGCTGCAATCACACCCTTACTCAGATCTTCACTGAAAACCAACTCACTCATGTTCCTCTTACCAGGTTCATGGAAACTAACTATGGGTATGTAAGCTACACCTTGTTTACAGAAGTGCTGGTATGACTTCTCGTAAAGTCTTTCTTCTTTATCCTCTACTGGTTCATAGTGCAGGAAATTTGTGTAGCTTGCATAACATTTTTTATGGTAGCATGCTTCAATTGCGACACAATCTTTGTCTCGAATGTGTAACAGGATAGACTCATCCTTTTTCTGTTCTGCAGCCATTCTTAACTTTCCAGCATCAAAGGTTTGGTCTTGAGTGAGTTTTTGTATTGTTCTTTTCTTGGTTCTCTGAAAACAAATATTGGCGTCAATAATCTAGTTTGATATTGACTATGCTAATATACTATGTCATAAAACATATCAGTATTTACATACCACTGGGCACTTGCACTTTGAAGTAAATATTACTGTAATTGTAGTTTGATAAAATATTATTGTTTCATACTTTTGATAAAAAAGTGAACTAATTTTAGCTTTTGACTTACAGGACAAGTGTATGTGAGGTCTGCCTTTTTGCAAATAAGGCATATTCTTGGGAGAACAGGCGTTGACCTTGACCCAGTTGAACCATGTGGAAGTCTACTTCATGTTTGTCGGGTTTCTTCTGCTCTGGTTTTTTTAGCTGCAGGTTCTGTATCTTTACTCGTACAGGGTGTATCTGACGTTTCACTCATTCGCTCAACCTCGTACCCAGGGCATTTTACCTCTGCGGCGTCGGCGAAAATGGCCCTGGCATCGGCCGGTCAGTTATGCAACATGATTGGTTAGCCGGCAAGCCAAATTAATTCGCGTGATAATAATTTATTCCATGTAATTTCAAATCAACAAGGAGCGATTTGTGAAATCTCAAAACTTTCGAAGTTAATATTGCAGATTTTTCGTTCAAATATGGCTTTTATTGAAGGTAAGCAGCAATTTAAACATATTTGTATGCTTATTTATCTATTTATATAATTGGACACATGCTGTTCTGATGACATCACATGTATTATTTATAAGACGTATTAATCAGAGCTGAACTTATTATAAATACTGATATGGAAATTTGATACATCATGCATGGTATTTGTATTTGATGTCACAAAGATACAAAACATAGCTTACGTGCAATGTGCAAGATAAATGTATGTGAAACAGACAACACGATACAAACAGTTTGGCTTCTTAATACTGATTACTGGGTCTATCAGGTCTACTATAGTCAGCACCCAAACTGAAACAAACCGGTCACATTGCGCCGATTGGCACTTGGCAGTAGACGATGTACTCGATTTCTATTAAAAGTGAACACGTTGCATGCTTAATTGCGGGGACAGAACTCATCATAATGATCAAATAGCTATAAAGAAAAGATAACACGTCTGACAGTATAAACAAAGGTACAAAGTGGTATTAACTATATATTTTTATACTGATGGTCTTTGTCATTTTATGTATGAAACATGTGTAAATTTAGAAATTCACATCATGTGCTCAGCCATGAATGTTATCCACATTAGTACAATGACCTATGTCAACGTATTAATACAGTATGCTCTGAGTTGTCAGATAAAATATTCTTATTGTATCACTGGAAAAAATTGAAAATCCATAGAAGGGAAATATTGTATGGACCTTCATTGGAAATAGAATGGATTTTGATTATCCATAATATTAAATTGTATATAATTCCATATCATGGATATATTATAAAAATAGTATGGATAAACTATGGATTTAGTGGTGCAATTGCAAACTTCATATTATGGATTTTACATTTTTTCCAGTGTATGTTACTCATTGCTACAAATCAACCATATGATTTAACCGTACAACCATGGGCATTTGGTACATGCATGGTACATACTGTATGTCCAAGACAATTTATAAATTAACAATTTTGAAAGGAAATTTTTTAAGAAAGATTGGTGATAATCATGACAATTTAGGGAAAACCCCTACAAAAATGATGTGCTAATTTATTCAGGTTATTTCGTTTACAATTAATACCTTTATATAAATACAAACCCAAGTTGTCCTGTGGAAGCTTTGCTCTCATGAATCAAGAAGAACTTTAATGTGTTAATAATTTGTGAAAGTGATGTTCCCAGGCCATTAAGATATATGTTACAAATTAATATCCAATGATAATGATGCTCCCATGTCAATATGATATATGATATATGATACATTACATAAATATCCAACTTTGGGGCATATCTTAAAATATTTAAGGAGTGGCTACCTGATAAGGAACTGCATGCAGCTATTTATGTTTATGCTTTTGTCCAAAATGTGACATACAATGCACAATCCTCTTTTAGTAGAAACCTAGCGGTAAGCAAAAACTATATAAATCGGCAGTTTCAGATCGATATAGTCACAAATCATATTTAATTAATTCATCTTCTATAGTTTTATAAAATTTGTAAAACCACTTTTAATACCCTTCTGTTTTAATTAAGGCATCAACACTACACCTCAGAAGGTTTATCCAAAAGAACAAAATCTGCCATCACAAGGTGATCAATGCAGACTATGTGGAAACATTACAGATGCACGCTATCTTACAAGAGTTTTCTCAAACTCAGGAATACAAAAGGATTGGCAACGAAAGGTGTTGCAAACATGTGCCATAGTCATAGCTGAGACAGATTATCTTCCAACAGTCATTTGTCGAAAATGTGGAAACTTTGTAAATAAGATGTGGGAATTCAGACAACAAATTCAAGGAGTTCAAATAACACTGAGACAACAATTTAGTGTTAAACGTGGAATTGCAACCTCACCTGCTGCTTGCAAACAGCCTGCAAAGCGCAATGCTTTTGTGTCAAATGATGATAACAACACAAGAAGGACACTTGGTTTTGATAAAATTGATCACTTACAAGACATGCAATATAGAACTCAGATGAACATTGATCATAGTAGTAAACCACAGACACCATCTGTGCATTATGTTTCTGAGCGGACTATTATACCAAGCCGCCAATCACATACGGAGCCTCAACCTTCATCAGTCCTACCACTTCATCCTTCCTCAGTATATGTTTCCCATTTTAATACATATGTCACAACACCCATCACATCAGTTCAGCAAGCAAAATTGGAACGAGCATCAAGGACAAGAATACCTTCTGCTGTTGCAGATATAGTAACAGAAGCCTGTCCATCTGTTGAAGTTGCAATAAAGAGGAACATTTTGCATAAATGTAAAGTGTCTTCTCATGCACTTTGCAAACGATCCAGTCATTCATCAGTGTTGTATGCAAGTATGGAACAGTATACGATTATGAAGGATTTTAGCATTGACCTATTGTGGAAAGAAATGATAACACATCATCCATTTCTTATTGATGTGTTAAATGCTATGGCAGGAAAAGAAATTGACATTAAAAATGCAACAGATGAGTTGAAAGTTAAATATTGCTTTATTTACTCAATCATTATGAACATTCGATGGCATGAACTTAGGTTTCAACGCATCAACACAGTTTTATTAATTGAAGGTGGATGTGGTAAACAGGTATAAAGAGTTGAATTATTTATTATTACTGAATTAACATATAATTTTAGCCACAGTTAAAAAAGCCTTTATTAACTGCCTCTTGTAATTTATATCATGTGATAGTTCAAACAGATCAGATGATACCATTTGTTTTATAGTTGGACAAAATATGTGATTCAAATTATAGATCTGCTGACAAGACATTGCATGATTTCCTTTCATTTAATAAAGACTCAGACTCAAAGATGCAGAGCTTCAGGGGCGGATCTAGGGGTGATCAGAGCGATCACGCGACTAAGGTAAAAATTGGCCAGAAAAGTAGAAAATTGTTAAATTAAGATAGCAGTCCAGTTATCAAACTTCCCGCAGTGTAATGTGTTGAAAGTTTAATAGTCCAGTTTTGAAATATCATTCAGTAGCAATTAAGGCCTTCGAACATGAACGCGCAGAAAAGCGGTCTTACGCATGAGTTTTGCACGCTCTGAGTCAGATTCCAGCCATCTGATTGGCTATCTCGATTTTTGCGCGATCTGTGGGGAGTTCTGATCGCTAAAGCGATCAGGGGCTCGAATACAGGCGATCCGATTGGCTAATTCAAAACAATCCTGAATCCCCATTGGCTGGATTTTTTTGATCGATCATACCGTTCAGGCTTTATTAGTGCACGGAAAGGTCTATGACGTTTCTGGTCCTTTCTGATCACTACTTCGTGCTTGACCGCAAATTATTAAAGTTCAAAGGGAAGATATACTATCAGAAATTCTGAACTAATACTAACCATGTCTGTTAGTATTTACGAAACCGTAAAGGCTGCTTTAGAGAATGACGATCGACAAAATGTCAAAGATATTGAAGCTGATTTAAACAAGCGAGTGACGGTGTACCAAAGCTTTCTATTAAAGATTTATTGAGCGTTGTGAATAACATAAGCAGCCTTACTCGCACGAAATTTGGTGCGGAATCATACATCGAAGTACGTTCGAGAGATTTTAACTAGATATAGCATTATAACTGTTGTATACTGCTTTATACTGTGTCTGTGGTGGATTGTGCGTCTGTACGCACATGCTATAATATCGGCGGATACGCGTCTAAGACGTATAATAATACGAGACGAAATTTACATAATATTTCCGTCAATTGACATAAATACTGCGGCTTAATACAGGCAGTTTCAGTGTGTTTCTACTTTGTTTATGCTTCTTGTGACATGTGGACTTTATCTATTAATCAGATAGCTACTTAATAACTGAATAACACTGTATTAATATCATTTATACCTAGCCTATTTCAGTTAAACTACAAGAACACGACAATGTAGCATGGCCTTGTGTAATACGATCTCTACAACATGTATACAGCAAGTAAAATGGATTATGTTGCCATTGTGAATACTTATTCATGGCGCATGTTTCTGCTATGAATGAAACTCGAGGAGCAGTTAATTAAACGTGGAAATTCTCTTCCTGCTTAACAATCAATCAAATGTTTTAAATTGCATCATTATATTGCAAAATTTTTGGACCATCCATGTCAAAGCAAAAAATATGCGATTAAATAACAATTTTTAAAACGTCAAGTCATCCTTGTCAATCTATTTCTCGATGAGAATTGGATACCTGTTTGACATTGGGCGAAAAAGCAATTTTTTTAAGTTAGATTTTTTCGTAAAGAGAACATATATATAAAAAAAAATAATTTGCTTGATTTGCGTCAAAAGTACCCCCCTCCCCCAGTCAAAAGGCTAATGTTGAGCAACGAAATTTTTGACTAACGTACGAAAAATCCTAGATCCGCCCCTGCAGAGCTTCCCTATTGATGAGTAAAATCGTCTGGCGTTAGGCAAGCAAAAATATTAAGTAGGACGCACTGTGGGGCGCATTTCCGCACAATAGGTTAACTAGAGACATTGTCAGATTTTTTGGTTAACCCATTAAGCTGCAGAGCTGCCCCATTGACAAGTAAAATCGTCTGCCATTAGACAAGTAAAAAAGTAAATTATGCAGTCCAGTTTTGAGTGTAGACAAGCCCTATGAGAAAAAAGCTAGACTTGTGCAATACACTTTTATGATGTGGGACTAGGGTTGGTTGTATAAAATAGTAGTTAAGAACAAGGCCCATACTGTACAGACTGAGCACGGTTTGCCAACACAATGCGAATTTTCAGTTTTTAAAACCAAATAAAACCGTCAACGGATAAAAACTTTACAACACGTGCAGACCAAATAGCTAAAATTGCTTAAGTGGTTCTGAATATTTGAAAAACATTGAAAAACAGGAAAGTTAAATGTCATTGAAAATTGAAAATTTGCGTCGCTTTGTTGAATCGCTTCCGGTCTGTATGGGCCTTATACCAAATCCAGTTCACTCATAATCATGCCGATATATCACAAAATCATGCAATATGCTCATAAACATGCTTATTAGCATATTACAAGATTTTGATAGATAATACACTAAATCATGCAGCATGTACATAACGATTCTCATGAACATATCACTGGATTTTGGAAGATATATGGCCGCGTGCTCATGGCCGTACCAAAATCTGGTACGTCCATGAGTGCGAAAATCAAGCAGTATGCACATTATGAATCATGCTCATGAGCGTGAGATTTGAACGAACTAAAGCCCCGTTTACACGACAGTCATTTTAGGCACGGCACGCTTAAATTTTGGCATGCGGACCCATTTTTTTGGGCACGGCACTCTTAATTTTTGTCGTGTAAACGCAAAATTAAGGGTCCGCGGGCCCAAAATTTTAAGCGGGCCGAGACCTCCTCAGGAGGTAGTCTCGGCCCGCTTAAAAATGGGTCCGTGGCCCCATTTATGCATATTTTTATTTTTTCACGCATGCGTTTTGTTTCTCGCACTGCAAAATGGCGTGTAAAGAAGGGAAGAATCGAGGAAAATTGTGGTCAGAAGAAGCAACAAGAACTCTCATAAATTTATGGTCGGAAGAAACAATACAGCTTTCTTTAGAGAATTGCAAAACGTCGAAGGAAACCAGACAAGTGTATAACACGATTTTGGTAAGTTGAGGCAATATTTAATATTTTTTTCAGTTTTATGACGACGACTAATATTTTTTTTCAATTTTGCGATGATTATTTTGTAATAATATACAGTTTTTTCTTGACAATTGTTATCTGTTTTGGTGTACATTTTTGCTAAAAATTGACCAGATTTTACTTCACTTTAAACTTTACAAAACAAGTCATACAAAAACTCATTTGTTTTAATAGACATGAGCACGTATTAAAAATCGACTCAAACGTCCAGTCAACAAAATCACGAGGTTCATTATTTATTGAATTGTTTGTGCCAGTGTAGGTAGTGCATTAAAATAAAAGGCCTTCGAAAGCCAAAAGGCCTTCGCGCGAAATGTCGAAATTCTTATGTTTTTCAGGTATAGTTGCATCCTAACCAACGAGAGCTTGTTTATTGTATTTATTGCAGGTAAAACTACATTCGAAGGGATACATAGATTTCAATCTTATTAAAGAAGTAATTGGAAAAATTAAAAAGTTGCGTCAAAAATACAAATCCGTTAAAGACCAAAAAAATAAAAGCGTTAACAGTGCCAACCCAAAAAAAGAATGGACATTTTTCCAGGAGATTGACAAGTTCATGTACACGAAGCATAATATTAATCCTCCATCACTCATTGACACCTCGGCAGACTCAGTTGAGACTGAACATGAAAATGTTGATGACAATTTCAGTCAGTATATTATTCTTTGAAATGTAAAATTTCCAATTGTATATTTATCAGCAATATTATATTTGATAAAAAATTTATATTTTAGTTGATGTACTTGTTGAAAAATATGGACAAGGGGAGGTTTCTGTGAGAAAGTGTGAAACATGCGAATTTGAGCAAACAGTGCGTACTGCTGGGGCTCATGTTAATGGTGACGAAGGTTCAGTGATGGTTTTCACAGATGATGATGAGTTTATTTGTCCTAATTGCATGATGAATACTCCAGCTGAGAAAGATACATGTAATCTGTCAATACTAATTATTCAACTGTTAACCTCTAAGAATGTTTTTTAACCTTTAGGGACTGGTCATAATTTAGCAGAAGAGGTGGGGAGGTGGAAACAGTGGGGGGAGGGGGGTCACATTTTTTAGCCAGCAAAAAGGGGGTTCATAAAATATTAGACAGTTTATGAAGGCGGGGAGGGGGTCTGCTGTTTTAGTTCAATTAATTGTTTTATACATGCCTTCTCACATTTTGTTCTTCTCACATACGAGAGGGTGGGGTGGGGGGAGCATTATTTTTCCAGGTTATGGCAAAGCAGGGTCACAAAATATCATTCCTTAAAATTTTGAATTACACCTCCTCCCCCCCCACCCCCTGATAAATTATGACCAGTCCCTTAAATAAAAATGTTTGACAATATAAGAGGGGGTAACCTTATTAAGTTTACTGTAAACCTCCAAATATAATGCTTGAACCCTATAATGCCCTGGCTTATATTTGCTGATAGGTGTTAATATATGCAGGGGCTTATAGGGTTGGACTTGTATTCGCAGGTTTACATTACCTTGGGCCATTAACCATTAAGTGGCAAAGTGCCCTGATGTGCCCTACTTTACTAATTTACCCTGTCTAACACCAGCTGATTGTACTCGTCAAGAGGAGAGACTGCCACTCAATGGGGTAATCAACCGTTTAAGTGGCAAAGAGCCCTGATATTTTATTATTTCATTCTGTATAACACCAGATGATTTTACCCAGGTCAAGGGGTGAAACAGTGCTGCCACTCAATGGGTTAAATTAATAACAAAGCTGCTAAAGTAATTCATGGCCAAACAGTAAAATTTTCTTTGAAGGTACTGTTCCTGCCAATGATGACAAGATAGATGAAAAGGAGGAAACATATGAGGAAGAAGGGTCTTTAAAGCAGCCCTCTAGTGTGCCAAAGCCAATACCAAAAAAAAGAAGAAAAACTAACATGGAGAAATCGTTAGAAACTGTATTCAAACAGTTTAAGGATTGCGCTGATGAAGATTTTTCACGGTACAATTAAATGGTTTACTCTTAGGTTGCCTTTGATGACTGCATTTGCTACAAGTGTTTCTATAACTGTATAGAAACACAGGAAAAATTTGTTTTTATATCTTTTATAATATAACTGCAGAAAACTTTTATCATTTTTTATATCGATTAATTTACAAATTTTCATTATTACCATTTAAATTATCAAGTTCTCTTTTTGTTAATTAAACTGAGAATTCCATTTTTGTCTTCTTGTTCCTCTTTCTAAACCTACAATTACCACATTTTTTCGATTACAGCGAGTGTTTATACTGTAGAATTGTTTTGTTTACGTATTGATATAAAGGCAGCTCACTGAGCTCAGTGTTCGAGACAGGGAATTTCCCACTGAGGAATTTCCCGTGTTTCCAAATGTTTCCATAATTTTTTTGTGTTTCCTTGTTGTGAACGCTCGCTTACTATTTAATATTGTATTACAATAATCTATACATATCGATACATATGATTTTATCTGTACGGATTTAACAAGCTTGATTGTTGTTTCATTTCTCAGGTACCAAAAGCTAGAACAAGAACGAGTCCAAACAGAGCAGCAGTTTCATATGCAAAGGATGGCTTTGGAAAATGAAAGACGAAAAGAAGAGAGAGAACATGAAATGAATATGGTCAGAATGTTGATGGGACCCCAACCTTTGTCTTCATTCACATTGCCAAACATTCATTCACAATACTTAATACCCTCAGCGGTTCCTAATTGTGATGATGCCAGTACAAGCTCACATTGCAGTGACATTGAAGATAACAAACAAGTTTATTATCCACTGTAGATGTTTTTGCCACTTCCAAAGTTATTTTTTCGTTCTTTCAAAATACATTGCAACATTAAGGCAGTTTTAATGCAAGTCTTTATTCAACACTTGTCATTATAGTAGTTTATAATTGTTATTTGACTTGTTATGTCATAATTATGGGTAATCAACTACAGTAATATTTGGTATATACTGTACGGATATAGTACAGCTGTTCATTTGAACTTGTCTATAATAAAATTTGAGTTTTTCAGTATACATATATCTAATATGACCAATGGTAAGTGAACTTTAGAGTGACTTAACCCATTGAGCCGCAATGCGCCCCAGTTATTTTTTTACTTGTCTAACGCCAGACGATTTTATTTGTTAATGGGGAAGCTCTGCAGCTTAATGGGTTAACCATAAAATCTGACAATGTCTCTAGTTAACTCATTGAGCCATAATGCGCCCCACTTGTCGTTTCTTTTCTTGTCTAACGACAGACGATTTTGCTCGTCAATGGGAAAGCTCTGCAGCTTAATGGGTTAAAGTACTTTTGCATTCATTCTCATTAAAGGTCAACTAAAGAAATATCACGGACATGGTTATTGGAAGTTATCCCACTTATTCCCTTAAATTAAGTGACAAACAACCAACTAGTATGGGTGTAAGATAAAGTACTGTGCCAAACAATCTCGAATGTCAACAGCATCATTTGCATTATGATCATTAACAGACATGACTGGTTCATCATGGACATGTTCTAATTCCCAGTGAGGAAGAAATGCATTGTTCTGTACCTCACATATGTTGTGCAAGATACAAGATGCTGCAACGATACTACCCAGACATGACACTTCAATGTCCACTCTCTTTGTGAACCTAATAAATCTCCCTTTCCATCGACCAAAAGTGTTTTCTGCAGTCATTCGTGCACAACTTAATCTGTAGTTAAATACTCTCTCAATCCTGGGAGTGTTTGCATTTTCAGGATAGGGCTTCATTAGCCATGACAGTAGTGGGTATGCTGGATCTCCAATAATAAGGGGATGGATGTTTTGGTCACCTATTAATTTGCTCGGTATCCCTTGAAACAATTTGTTAGAATTTGCCTTCTCAAATATGCTTGAATTAGACAAAACATGTGCATCATGCACACTACCTGGCCATCCTACAACTATATCTCTGAATAAATAATAACAATCAACAATAGCTTGCATGACAATGCTATGTTGGCCTTTGCGGTTGACATAATCTATGTGGCTTTGTGAAGGTGCCAATACAGGGATGTGGGTACCGTCTATAGCACCAGCACACATAGGAAATCCCCATTTCTCTTCATAGCGCCTGATAATTTGGAGTAGATTTTCTCCTTCTGGAAAGCTGACTACAGTTGGCAAACGTTTCCGGACAGCATGACACACCTCCTTTACACAAATACATACAAAAGCAGCAGAAACTCCAAACAAGTTAGCAATTGTTTTGTACTCTGCTGTTGATGCAAGGAAGTATAATGTGATGGCTAGGCGACGCTTCGCAGGTACAGCATTTCGCATGACCGTGTCCTTATGTGATATGTCTAAGTTGATCTTACTTAAAATGAATGCAAAGGTACCTTTAGTCACTCTAAAGTTATCATACCATTGGTCATCCGTGAAGTAAGTTTCTACCATTTCAAACCAAGCAGAAGATCGAGGACGCATCCAAACTTCCCTAATACGTGGATAAAAAGCACCAGCTAAAATAGCTTGTAAATTTTCCATTTTTCGCCGTTTTATAGACCTTAACCATGGTACACATACAGGTTTACCATTATAATTTGCAATCGTTTTTCTTTTCTCTTTCATGCGCGTATAAAAAAACCAAGCAAGTACTTTTCTCCTTTCCATTTCGTTTGGCGCCATTGTGAATTTGGAAACCAATACCTTCTCCCTACATGACGTTTCGTCTGTTTGTTTGTGAAACACCTCTGACAGACAGACAAGTAGGCTCGAAATTTAGGGGTGCCGTTCCCATTTTAGGCGTGCCGAACCCAAAATTTTTAGAACAAAAATTTCGTCGTGTAAACGCATTAGGCGAACTAAAAAGCGTGGGTCCGCGTGCCAATATTTAAGCGTGCCGTACCCAACATGACTGTCGTGTAAACGGGCCTTAAGAATGAGTGTGCCATAAGTATAGCCTGGCGAAGTTTGTTCGGACCTGAAGATACAGCCACTTTGTAATAATTATTTAAAAAAACAATTTAATTATTAAATGGATCAAATGATTGGATAATTACTGCAGACTTTATAAAAACAGTCTAAGCTTACAATGGCATAAAACTAATATTCTTTTTACACGTGTATCCAAAGCTAGATTGAAGTAACTTATAAATAACCATTAATTAATTACAAGAGTATGCACCAGCATACTTGTTGATTCACTTAGCCTTGATGAGTAAAATGGGCTGGCATTAGACAGAGTACAATAATCTGCCCTTTAAAAGACAGTAAAACAAAAAAGTAGGACACACAAGGGTACAATACAACTTAATGGGTTCACTAGACACATGGCCATATTCACCCAGGAATACTTCTCAAGAAGTTTGGCAGGTTGTTAAGATGGGGAGTTAACCGGATATTACACTAGGCAGGACATGGCACAAGCTGCATTGTCCCACAACTCTATTTGTTTACTCGTCTGATGGGTCGTACCAGAAAAGATCCACTCTCCCCTGGGCACAGACGAAATTTCTACTGTCTGGAGGGTAGGGGAGAAAAAATGTTTCTGATAATAGTAAGTGCATTAGGACATTCGAATTTTGAAGGGGATATGGGGTCAACTTCCAATTTCCTTCATGTGGGAGGTATCGATATTCTCTGCAATGACCCAATGTCAGATG